CTGCTGAAGTTTTGGGGAATTACTGTGTACACCAAAAGGATAGATTCTGATCTTCAAAGCATTGAATTGCACAGGGATAAACTCAAGATTTCTCCCCACTAGACAGAGGATTAAGTTATACAAAAAATAAAAATATAATTATATTGGTGTACAACCAAAATGGCATAAAAAGTGTTTTATGCAAACCAAAAGAAAAGGTTGTAGAAAATCAGCACCTTTTAAAAATCTAGTTAGCTGTATTGCATCTAAAAGCATTGTCATAATTTGTGGGACTGAATTCACAACTGCTAAAAGCAACAGCTAAATATGTGGAAATTGCAATCAAAAGGTGGGCAGGATAACCCTCCAAGCATCCTTTCTAAATATGATTTAGTATTCATGAGCAGAGATGTAGTTAGACATGTGAGTCTCAGCCAGGCAGAAGGTGCAAATCTACCCTGCCTTCTTTCTGAGAACTCATCACTTAAGAACATAAGAAGTGCTATCCTAGGTCAGACCAATCATCCATTTAGCCCAGTATCTTGTTTCCGACAGTGGCAGTAATGGATACTTTATAGATAGGTACATATGAGCTTTAGTGCTTGTTTCTGCACCTTGGGCCTAACTCACGGATACACTGCTGTGCTTACATCCATCTTCATTAATCAAGCTATTTAAGCCCATGCCTAACTTTAAACCTACTGTTACGTGGTTTCCTATATAGACATGCTTTTATGAAAAAAGGTCTATATAAGCTTTCAACTTACAGTGAAAGCACTAGTGATCAGAGGTTAACTGGGCAGGTCTGTGCAGTGGGAGGTGGTGGTGCATGGGGCCCAGCTGCCATGACTGCAGTTTTTGCACCACCCCCTCCCAAGTGGTTGCCCAGAAATGGTGTCCCAGTTGCCTCTCCTTAGTTATGCTACTGTTACTGATTTAGAAGTCCTGGCCTAGCACACACCGCTTAATTAGACAAGGGAATTTCTGGTACCATGTGGCAGATTCTTCTAAAGTCCTGGTCAAGGCCTTAGGGGAGATATCCCCAGACTATTACAGTGCTCTTTTTCAATTCTTTTATATCCTGCTGTAACTTCAAGGTAGGATAATGCCTGTGATATATGGTGTGGAAGGTGCTTATTGACCAAGGGTAGGCTCTAGACATAAGAAAATGGCTGAATTTCAGTAGTCATAATTAGACTGAGCCTTTTTCATGTAGTAGTATTTACCCTTTAAATTCAAAGTGGCTCTTACAACCCCACAGAAAGTACCAAAGCTTATTTGTGAGAGAGGTTGCAGACCCACATCCATTCCCTACCTCTGAAGTTTTGTTGAGGAGATTTCATAGCCTGTTGCAGCTAGTCTTCAGATGCCAGGAACACCCCACAGATAACAGTAGCCCTTCCCATAGTACCTCTCTTGAACTGTCTCAGATTTGCCTTTTTCTCTGGGAAGGAACTGGTCAGATGCAGATTCAGTGGTGTAGACATAATAATTTAAAATAAAATGTAGAGTTAACTTTGACCACAATAATTTTACTCATTAACACAGTGGTGGGGGCATAAGTTAAACATAAGCATAAACAAGCAAGAGCATGCAAGCTATGGCTTACATTCTAACCGTATTTTGTCCCATAACTGCAAAGTCTTGCACATAACATACTAACCTGACTGCTTTCTGCTGGGCTGTGATTAAATAGTTCAACTTTTTCCTGTTGGCAGAGGAAGGAGCTCTTACTAGAGATTATGTATCATTACCTTCCCTACAACCAGGGTTACCCAACATTCTGAAGCACAGCTAAAACAGTATTTTCACTGCCACAAAATGTGGATTTTTATGATAGGACAGCTAACTAGACCTGGAGAGGTCAAGGCATTTCAATGTAGCTAGCTAAGTTCAACACTATACTCCACCTAACTACAGCTTCTGGCTAGTTGAGGTGAACTCCAGCCCGGGAGGATATCATGTTGATCTTGATTATCTACATCAACATATGAATTAACTGAATTAGACTTCCAAGAGGCCTTTGATCTAGTATCCCACAATGTCCTCGCAAGGAAATTGGAGGATTGCGGGCTTAACTCTGAGACAGTTGAGTGGGTGAGAAACTGGCTGCAGATTAGGAGCCAGAGAGTCATAGTGAACGGATCTGCGTCATCCTGGCAAGAAGTGGGCAGTCGTGTCCCACAGGGGTCGGTGCTCAGTCCAGTACTTTCCAACATCTTTATTAACAATTTGGATGTGGGGATGAAGAACTCACTGGCCAAGTTTGCAGACAACACCAAGTTATGGGGAAGCATGGTCACGCTTGAAGATAGGCTACAGTTACAGGCAGACCTAGACAGGCCGGCAAGTTGGGCGGTTCGGAACCTGATGAAGTTCAATGTTGAGAAATGTAAGGTGCTCCACCTCAGGACGAGCAACCCCCAACACACCTACAGGCTTGGCGGCACCAAACTGACTAGCACTGCAAATGAAAGGGACCTGGGAGTAATAGTAGACCACAGTATGCACATAAGCTGACAGTGCGATGCTGTAGCCAGTAGAGCAAATAATACCCTGGCATGCATCAATCAATGCATCTCCAGCAAAGCCAAAGAGGTGACTCTTCTGCTCTACTCAGCACTGGTGAGACCGCAGCTGGAGTACTGCATCCAGTTCTGGGCACCACACTTTAACAAGGACATGGACAAGCTTGAGAGAGTCCAAAGAAGAGCCACCCATATGATCAGTATCTTAAAATGAAAGCCATACAAGGAAAGGCTGAGGGATCTGGGAGTCTTCAGCCTCAAGAAAAGAAGGCTGAGAGGGGACCTGGTAGCAGCTCCGTTACACAAGGGGAGTACATCAAGGGCTCGGTGAGCAACTGTTCAGCAGCACCCGAGGGGAAAACCAGGAGTAATGGCAACAAACTCCTAGAAGAGGATTCAGGCTCAACATTAGGAAAAACTTCTTCACAGTCAGGATGTTCAAACTGTGGAATAAGCTCCCTCCAGAGGTGGTGCAATCGCCTACCTTGGAAATCTTAAAGAGGAGACTAGACAATCACCTTGCTGGGGTCACCTGACCCCAGTTTTCTTTCCTGTTTGGTGCAGGGGGCTGGACCTGATGATCTTCCAAGGTCCCTTCTGGCCTTACAATCTATGAATCTATGAAACTGCTTTATCTCCACTAGTTTTTACAGCAAGCCAGCAAAGTGGTTAAGCTAAACTAAGTTAGGTGTCTTACTGTAGAAAGACACCTTTTGGCAATAAAGAGATAGTGTTAGCTGGGGGTGTACTGGATGGTGAGAAAATGTTAACAGGAGGAAAAGTAGGCTTTTGATTTCTTAGGTTGTTTGTGTAGCTCTTAGAAACGTAGAGAATTACATCTACTAAGCAAAGTTAAAAATGCCGTTGTTTCCTTTTCTTCCTGTTGGAGCATTTCACCTCAGTCGAAGTGCTCTGTCATATACACACATATATACACATACACATACATGTGTGTATATATACATATATGTGTGTATACACACACGTGTGTGGGGGGGGTAAAGAAATAAAATCACATGTGAGACTAGATGCCTCAAGCAACTGATGACAGGATAAAAAAACATTTCTAGTCCAAGTTGCTGGTACAAATCCAGCTTAAGTCACTAGAAACTAAAAATAATTACAGCAGGGTCATGCATGCCAGTGTGGCGTGTGCACCTCAGGCCAGGTGGCGGGGGAGCCACAAGGGACCCAATCCTTGTTGCAGCAATGCAGCACCAGACCCTTCTCTGCTGTCAGTCCTGAGGCATATGTGCAGCCACCACTGGCAATGAGCTAGACCAGGGCTTCATGGTGCAGCTGCTTGCAACCTCCCCACTGCCTAGTGTGAGCAGCCATGGTGAGTGGCAGGGGCCTGCCCAGAGCTTGGGTCAGCTGTGGCAGGCAGCCAGGAGGCTGCAAGCAGCTGCACCAGCTTCTGCAGAACCTCAACCTGGCTTGTTGTTGGTGGCGGGTGCATGTGCACCTTGGGGGAGATGGTGGGGAAGGGGCTGGGGCTGTATTGCCACAAGGTTGAGGCCCTTGTGGCTCCCCTGCTGGCATGCCAACATCTTGCAAGTTGAGGTTATGGGTATTTTTGGCACTCCATCCAAAAATGTTGCTGACCCCTGAATCACAGTCTGATGGCTGGTGGGGGCCTGTGTGAGATGAATTGCTTATTTCAGTCCAGTTTGTGGTTCAAATAACAAAAGACATGATCACATTCAGCACTAACTGGCATACTGTTGGAGTATAAATAGAGCTGCATAGTCTGGTCTGGCATGGAGACTATACTGTCCTCTCCTGACTTCAAACTGCCTACCATGGGCCTTATGAGTGGTTGCTCTCAGAACTGAATACAGGGTGAAGGAAACAGTATATTGGTCCTGTTTATGTTGTACCA